CGTGTGCTATTAATAACATTAATTGGACCATTTTCTGGAACAGTTTTCCAGCTGGGACTCTCTTGGCATATGATTTCGAATTTTTTTCCACTAACAGAAGGACTATTTGTTGATGACGTAAGAGCACAGTTCATCTATCCTTCATTCGTTAGGCTTCCAAATGAAAGAGAAACGCATCCAAAGTTTGGTTTTCATACGTTTGCTTTTTTCCTTAATTCTCACGCTAGTGTCTACGCATTTACCTTTGACGTTGACACCGTTTTGCTCTATCAGACAAGCAGGAAAATCACTGGCGGAGCTTGTGTGGTACTGTTGTTGAACACCCGCAAATCGCATGTGACGATGATGATGATGATGAGGCTACATCAACAATTGCCCACATGGTTCTCGGCCGGGTATTCCCACATTGATTTACCCTAGTTGCTGGCACTGGCACACCATTTGGTCGGGACTAGCTGTCCGGTGCTGTGCATCGACGCATCTACCTGTGCATGTGTGTAGGTGCTGTCGGTTTCATCCTGCGCTTGAAGGTCGCTAGGCACACATGAACCACTTTGTGTTATTGATTCTCCCCTAATGTGTGCTGCTGCCATCGCTTTTAACCTGTTGCACCCAGCTAGCGGGAGAATATATTCTAAACAAAATCATCCTATCCTCTGAATTTGTCTGGCCACTGTTTTTGTTCATCTCTCCTGCATGCAGCCGCCTACGAACTGTTTCTCTGTGATAATCCCCCGCGACGAATTCATTTCGTTGGGTGGCTCGCTTCTTTGAAGCATGCATCCATCACCGGCTAGTAACATGGTAACAAGTACACTGATAACAAAGACAAACACAAGCTGAGCTAAGTCAGAATGGTACTTTTGATCACAAAAGGTACGCAGTAACCAGCGGACCCACTGTAGACAAGACAAGACATGGAATGTTGCTCATTCATCTTCACAGGCATATTTTCGGGCAACCCTTTTCCTTCTGAGATACAGGGTAGCATGTGTATATGAACTATGTTTATGCATAAATTGGAAAGCAGCTAGAAATGTGAGGAGGCACCATGAGGAACTTATCTGGACGAAAACGCTTTACGATGGAGCAAGATTCATGCGCATCTTAGTTCTAAGGGTTCAACTCTGAAGCATGGCTCTGAGGTCATCAGGCGGGTGGGGTACGGAACTACAAGGCTTTATATCTTGTTTTTTTATTGCATATAGCTACACACCGGTGCTGCTCAAGGGGCGTTTCAGAAGACAGCTGACCATATCTGAATATAATGGGTGAGAAATTTCATCAGGTATTGTTTTAGTAAGATTTGTACAGACGTCGTTCGCCCCTCAACAAAGGTGTCTACCAAAAAGCCATAGGATCGCTAATAAAAATCTAGTTCATCTCTTGCTAATAAACCCTTTTTCAACTAAAAAGCACGGACAAACAGTGCAAAACGACCTACAGTCCGAGTTCGATAATTGAATTAGAAATCTTTTGGAAAGACACATAACTCAGTTTTCGAATTTTTGAAAAATACCTTGTCAGCGTGCTTACGTCATGTCAAGTCAGAGCAGACCATACCACTAAGATATTTCATACAATTAGCTTGGGGTAGTGAGAAGTTTTCGATATTAGTTGCGGTCACAATGGTTTAAATAACCTCAAAATGTGCACTTACTGTATAGGGATTGATGAAGCTGTAACTCGATGTGTCCACTGATTCACTTTCAGCGTGATAGAATTCCAGCTACCTGTTTCTTCCCCGTTTGACTTGACCAACGATTCCTGTGTGTGGAATGCATGACTTCGGAAGCAAGTTGACCTGTGTTTCCAAACTTCAGTCCCTCTGGCCATCCTCAGATCGTTTCGTGGATGATGCATAGAACATCCGTGAATACTAGTTCAGAATGTTCTACCTGCAAGGAACATAATTCCAATCTACCATTAGACATTTACAGCAATATAGCAACAGTAATTACTAGTGCTTGAATACAATATAGCAAGGAAGAGCAAGGATGCCCCGGTAGAGAATGGGAAGGAAAAGGAAGGCTGAGGACTTGGTGCGGAGGTCCTATATCCAATATCTGATTCTGCTGATCAGCCCTGTTTCAGCGAAGCTCGATCCTTATTATGGAACCTTTCTTAGTTTGTGTGGTTCGTTGGGGAGATGCTGACATGACTGTCGTCTACTGTTTTCCATAGTACAGCTCTCATACATCACGTCTGTCGATCAGAGACCTCCATCCCTGCGCTGCTCCGACCATCATAACTCGTCAATACATCATCTTTAATCGCATGAGAACTCAACATATTATGTGTCGGGCTTCGTAAATTTGGGAATCCACGTTACAACCCCCCCCCCTCCCCCCAGGATCTATTGCTCTGCATTTCCATCTGAAATGGGTGATTTGCTTACTAAGAATCCACTGATCAGCTGCTCCCGTGATTCTTGCTGTGGTCATTCTAACGAGCGTATGGCGCCTTACAGGAATATCGCCGTAGAGCAAAGTGTCATTTCGATAAATTCATGTGTTCCCAGATGAAGTTGGCTACGGTAACTTGATAGCCAGAACACCACTCACAAATGAAAATTACTGACGGGACGCCCTCAATGAGAACTTTTCCATATGTTTTATCTATATCCTGTACATCCTTTCCCCATACATTGCTTCCACCTTTCATAAGTAGACGATAATTGTGGTAGTCCCGGGATAATACATCTCTGTTCTTATCATTTCCGTTCTTTTTGCTTTTGCTTTTTGAAATAACGTTTCGCCATTCAAAAATGCTGGCTTGACGATAACAATAGTAAAACATCCCGGACAATGGCCCCAGTGGGATTCATGCGCCGGTTGCAGATTGAGTCATTGATCACTCCCGTTGTTGATATAGGTCACGTCGTAAACCATTCGAGCAATTTGGACAGCTTGTTGACATGTGGAAAACTGGGAGTCGATAGTGTGAGCTAAAAACAGAAGAGAATGAATTGATAGATTTTCCACTGGAAGTTGCAAAAGATCGAATTAAGGTAGCAGTTTTTTAAACAAGGCTGCCAAACAGATTGAAAGGGAGACTCAATTCATGACATATCACAGTTGAATCTACCGTACGCATGCAATTATCTGCTGCTGTGCGGGAGTAAACTGACTAGCCTTTCAAATTATGTGCAGCTGTGGTTACACTCCAGCAGTCCTCAGTTCGCGTTGTATCCCCAGGCTCATAGTCCCTTTTCTTGACTAATTTTGCATTTTATCGAATGATTTGGGGTACTGCCCAAATTAATGTTCGATGTGTGAACCAGACGGTACTAAGTGACTCCATTTTGTCGACGAAGAAACTCGTCCAGACGACATCCGAACAGAAACTGGCTGTGTTCCTGCTGGAACAAGAACAGAATTTCGTCAAAGAAATAAGTTAGCAGATGGCCTAGATAGATGTTATGAGTTGGTTTCACGAATGGCTGTCTATCCTCACGCTAGCGAACACATCATTCACCAAGTTAAATGCATGTAGCCATTAGCCAGGAGATTGGTCTTTCGTTCAGGATTTGAAGTATCCTTTGGTCGTGTCCGGTTCACAGCCTTGTCAGTCCAAACAACTTGTATTTTTAGAGCTCGATTTTTGAGGCACACGAAGGTAGGACAGCGTGTTTGATCGATGGAGCGGCCAACAGTACCAACTAAGCGTGGCAGAAATCCCAGTTTGTTCCGTTGTTGAGTTGATTTGACAGTGACAGTCAGGTCAACGAATCTGTCGCGGAAAGGGCACAGCATCATAGCGGCTTAATTCGCCACAAGAGCATGGCATGCATCAGTCGTTAGTCGCCTACGTACACTTTTTGCAGCTAAAGCATATAGGCTAAATTTCCGTAGTCGGTCTAGGGCGATAGTAACGCACATGCACGAATGACAGCATACATATGCAACCAAGCAAGTAGGCGATGACTGTTCCCCTTCAGCATATGCCGCGCGATTCACTCAATTTTTTTGCACGGATAATCCTCTTTGCCTCTCCCCGTGGTAGTGAGTTTGGTATTTGTACAATCCAGAGTCGCTGCTATTGTGTATGTGCGTTTATTGGTCATGTGGCTACTATGTTACATGGTTTTCCCATTAAGTATGATGATCCGGATAAGTGTTGGGCTAAATAATCGAATTGTCTATCCGACTTTTCCTCGCTTGCGTTATTGTGTTGCAATTCGCATTGTTGCGGGGACATCCGACCATCTCCTCTTTTGACCTCCAGTAACAGCAAATGACCGTGGTGGTTGGAATCAATTTACGACGCACGACGTGCTATGATTTGACCTCCCTATTAGATGAAGCGTTTGCGACCAAATCGCTCTGGAAACGAATAAATACGATTATTCTCACAGCACACAAAATCTGCTCGCAAGGCATGTTTCTGTCACCTGGTACAAGTTCATTGCATTCGATAGTCGGTTATACAGAAATAGAAATAGTGGTTGATACTTCTCTCATCTACGTATACATTAGCCCACAAGCTGGTACGCTTTCATGAGTGGTGGAACGTAGTAACACCTCGCATGAGGCAAAAACTTCAGAAAAGAATGTTTAGCCTCTAGTTGGGGTGGTGGTGGGTGGGTAGACGTGATCGCATCCCCGATTGCGGCTGATACGGAACGCTGTTGTGCACTCGCGAGATTACCATGCTTTATTTTGAAGTAGGAGAGTGTCTAATAGTAAATATCTGATAGCAGCGAACTTGTTAAAGCGGTGGCTGCCTGTCGGCAACGTTTCGGACACAAGCAAATTGATCTCGATAAGTATTCTCATTTATATTCTGGTTATTAGTTTTTTTACTTCACTTGAAATGTAACCAGCGGTCCAAGAAATATGTAGTAAGGTTTGGTCAACCTCCAGCTGTTTGGTAACCTGCTTCGGATTTCTCCACGTTCCACTGTCGGTTCGCTTTTGTTATCTTAGTTGCTGTAACTCGCAATATATTCGGTAGTGCGATGAGCCCGCGTTATCCTTCCCTCGATTTCTTCCTCATAGATATCCTTTTAGGACGACCTCAATCTGGAACAACTTCCGCCGCCACTGGCCCTCGATCCGCAAGCTATCGTCGTATTGCTCGTTCTCGGGGACACCAATCAACCAGTAGCATGCCAGCCACTACAACGGGGAAACATGTTACCCGTACGGCCATACAATCCGAAGCGGAGTCCGTTTCTTCAGTGTTCGCGCAAAGAACCATTGACGTCGATCGTACTATTTTGACCACTGGCCCAGATTCCCGTTTTCGACGATCTCATTCTCCCGGACCACTTGTGGGCGCATCCAATGCTATGACACAAGATACAATGCGCTTTCGACTATCTAGCCAGAGATCCGAATTTCCTTACACTTCTCCCGCTCTCGTTTCATCTGAACCCGAAGTTAGACAGGCGTTGATGTATCTCGGTGGCCCACCAACGGCCCAGAACTTGTCCATTAAAGACGTATCATATAGCACTGACCGTCTTTCGGTCGAGGTACCTGCTGGGCGTTTACGAGAGGCTAATAAATCTCGTGTGCGTCCCCGCCCTCGTTCCGCTTCTTCATCAATGTCCAAACTCTCAGGTTTTTGGAATGCTTTCCTCTCTGTTAGTGGTACCTCCAAAATGGCTGCTCCTACACATTCTGTAGGACACTCCAGGTGAGTAGAATGTCCTTGTTGTTAGCTGATGCTATCTCGGCGACCATGGGTTTGTTTCCTGGGCTGAGTGTTTTCGTTACAACCAAATTGTTTAACTTGACAAAAAAATCAACCACCATTTATATGTTTATATCATTATCGGTGTGAGCGTGAATATGTTTGGAGATTTCACGCCATAAAAATGCCACATTTTGACCCTCCAATATTTAAATCCCTGGTTGCGCTCATTGAGGTCCTATGTATTCCAGACTCCTGCTCTGAAAAAGAATACTCACTCAGCAACACTTGGGTAACACGGTCCCTTCGGGTCAGGCTGCCTACAACTTCTCCCGTCTTTTGGCCTAAGGTAGCCGACATATTTGTGGGTGTGTCTATCTTCATCCTTAGTCGAATAATCCATTCCAGCTTAGAAATGTCCTGGTGCTTGTGAAGGCTTAAAAACGGACGAGTGGATGTTGTGACCATTTTCTCAACCTTTAGTCAGTGATCGATTGTTGAAGTTCAGCAGCAACACGAACAGATCACATGCCACCGCCTTCACTTCAATCGACAGTGCTACCCCCTCTTTCTCCGATACCGATGTGTATTTTGTCTGTCGTTTAGTTATCTTTAGGGGCTATACGGATTACTTGTAAGCGCCTCTTAACCGTCGCTTGCAGGCCACTCAGCACTGGAACAACCATGTCGGCACTTTTTACCATGATCTACTTTTGTATCCAATTGTGTCCGAATCCCACAGGAAATCCTATGACTTTTTGTACTGTTAGGATTTTGCTACATTCTAACAGTACTGAAAGGATTCCACGTCTACACTTATGATCACGGATCACGGCCAACTGCTGCTGCTATGTCCGTTTCTGTATCTAGCGTGCCTGCTCACCATCACACAGGATCTCTTCGTAAGCAGATGGTGGGACGGTAAATGGCTATGTGATCTTCACGGACTCTAGGCGCGATGACCCGCCATTCAAGCCGTTGTTGTCGCGTCACGTGGTTGAGTATTTATATGTTCGCTCGCCAAGTCCTTCACAGGTCTAAAGAAGCAAAGAATTGATCTGTGACATTCGCTAAGTCTTTGTGGGAGTTAGTCATTTTGATTCGGATGTCTAAGTGAGCTGTTGATGTGTACCTGACGGCGCTCAGTATTCGCACAATGGAATTGAAAGCTACGACGTTTCTCTTATTGACAGGCAATTGAGTTCAGAATACGAGTCCAAACTTTTGAGCCCCATCTTGGCATCCCGGGTTCTCAGTGATCCTAGGAAAGTATTCCATCAGACTTTTTCCGTCAGTGTATGATTGTTCCAGTGGACAATGAAATTTGGTGACCTGCAGAAATATGAAGGTAGATTAGGATGATTTTTGGTTTGAGCACATACGCAACAAAATGCAGCATTTTTTCGCAAAACGTCTCGTTCCACTCGCAAAAATTCTGCGACCAAGAGCATTATGCGGCTGATTGGCCCTGTACCTGATATGCCTACAGAAGAATGCCACCTCAACCCCACAAGAACGCTGATATGGATGGCTGATGACGTTTCCCTTCTAATTCGACTCTCACGACGGACTGACGTGCAGGCGATCGATCGATGAGAGATCGTTTGTCTAGCAAAATGACCACCCTTGACCGGAATCATGACGTCATGAGGATACTGATCAGATGGCGAATTAGATCCACAAGCAGAGGAAAGTCGCGGTCGGTGCAATGTAGCAGTCTCTTCGCATCACTTTTCGATTTGATGCACTTGTGAATTTCTTGAGCCTGCATGAGCGAACTTTAACTACTTTTGTGCACAGAAGCCATAGGAAGCAACAGATCTCTCGATCACACCGGCTACGCATAGGATCTAAGTGAAGCGAAGCAGAATGTTTGCTTTTGTCAAACAATAAACTGATTTAACTGTTTTCGTGTACAAGTTGGCTAATCGTAACCCTTTTGTAGCGAGATCCGGTCTTGTTGACCTTCATTATTGTGCATTCTGGAGCATCCTTGGTGAAGATTTAGGGGTTTTCGAATGTGTGGTCTTCATGTTTGTTTAGAAATATTCTTTACCGACTCATTTTACAACTGAAAGCGGATGTGGCGCCCGTTGATGTCGCGGATGTCGTGAAAATCCATTATGTGGCTCATGACCTGCTAATTTCGTATGATAAACACATGGTACTGATAACGCCATCACCATTTGTATGAAGATTCTCGGATGTATTTCGCCATACATTCCGATACATACACGGGAAGTTGGGCACATTGAAGGACTGAAGAATGCCGGGCACGTTTATCGATCTCTTTTTTTGTTGATGTCGCGGATGTCGTGAAAATCCATTATGTGGCTCATGACCTGCTAATTTCGTATGATAAACACATGGTACTGATAACGCCATCACCATTTGTATGAAGATTCTCGGATGTATTTCGCCATACATTCCGATACATACACGGGAAGTTGGGCACATTGAAGGACTGAAGAATGCCGGGCACGTTTATCGATCTCTTTTTTTTTGGATTTTCTTGTTTATTTTTTATTGTCAGTGAATAACTACTGGGTGAAAGTTTGGGAATTCTCCTCAGCTTACCCCCAGAACGCAGGACATATTTTTCACGATTTATCGCTCCATGCGGTGGAGAACATGCCATTTGACTTCACAATTTGTTTATCAGAGCGCGAGAGAGAAGTTTGGGCTTCTAATTCAAATAACGGTAATTCCACCTGCCAAGTGTCGCTATCCGGACATATGGTCATCTCGGGTTTTTGTAGGAGTGAATTTCACCTCATCCTTTTTGTTGTTGTCTTGCAACGACAAGGGCTTCATCTTGACTCTTTGAGCTTTTCTACTCAATTGTGAATGGCAGAATGCTCCTGTCGATTTGTGTGATTATGCGGTTTCTGCATAAGCGCACTCAAAGGTGTGCTGTCAGCTGAGAACGAGATTGAGCCAAGTAGCCCAATTTGCTCGGCTACGCAGCTACACCTCTCGTCCATCTTTTAAGTAATATATGTAAGCAGGTAACACGGTTTAATTGTTCTGGTAATATCTTGAGGCGAAAACCCTATTTTAATAGTGGCCACTTACGGCAGCCTTTCTTCAAAGCTCTGAGTTGTCCTCTTCAAAGTTTTATGGATTTGTCACGACCGGAATCCATCTTCCGCAGCCCCTCAACGAGGCACATCATAGGAAGCGCCTGAAACTGAGTTATTATAGGGGTGTGCTATTTTTGGAAGTGGGAGTAACCTAAGCCAATGCACTCTTATGTCAGGTGGGCAAATGATACGGTTGGTTGGGAAAACAACCGAATAGGTCCACTTCTAACTAGCTGCAGATAATTTTACGTGGTGATATCCTAGCAACTGAAGTAAAGCTATGGGTTTCTGATATAAATAATATGGGATGACTGTTTAACTTCCGGAAATGACTCAGGACTTAGAGAAATTCAATAATTTGCATACCAATTTGGTTTTAACGATGTCCTTCTTCAGCTGAATTTGCTTCACTAGGCCACCTCGTGTTTCAGTTCGTATGACGATCCAGTAGCCCAATACATTTTGTTGATGTAACATAGTAATCAGAAGGTTACTGAAAACTCAGGACCTGTTTCGTCCTGTTTGGGGCTCATCAAGTAGACGCTGTCCAACCTTGTGTTCCACTTCGACGTATTTTACTGTGGCGTCTGCCCCTCTGTTGTGATCAGCGTGAGCTTTCCAACCACACTTGGATGGACAGTGACGTTTCATATTGTGGAAAAATATAATAATAAAAATATTTAGAAAATGATTTAAAGTTTTATCGCATACGCTCATCCGATTACAGAAACATTAGCTGGGAGATCTTTACCCAACACTCTTTAAATTTTTCTATTGGCTTATTACGGGTTTCTTAGGCCCATTAGTTAGGTGTAGTTCTCCCCACTTTATACCAGTCTTATTGCCCAGTTGAACACTAAATCATGTGCAAATCGCGAGATGCACTCCTGTGCCAACTAAGTTGGTAGTAAGGGGAGGTTCAAGTGGATATCAGCTGAATATCTCGTTTTAGATAAGTTTCATCTAAATATGTGCCCAAGAGCCGCCTCATTTTCAGTTAGAATCGTATCCAGAATATCGATTTTTCTTCTTGACCAAACACGGATGTGTACGTGGGAGCATCCGTGTGGAAATACGACAGTCGGATGGGATGATCGGGGGACTGAATGAACTGCTCAGTTTTTGAAGATTGGACCAATAGCGGTCTAACCGTGTACAATTAACAAGACAGCATGAGGCTTCTTAGAACCCTTCAACAACTGTTTGTGATTCCGAATATTCGTTGTCTTTTGGTTGATGAAGTCGTTGCTGTAGCTACGTTAGAGCGGGAAATATGTGGGGTGAATGAACGCGACCGAATCAACGAAATCATTTGCCACGTTCAATATCACTCATCATTTCCATGAAGGACTAGTGCTGTTCGTTTGCAGTGGCGGTTTCTGTGCACATAACAAACCATCACTAAGAAACTTAGTCATGAATAAGCCACTCAGAAGCAAACAATGGATTGTTTTCCGGATGGATTCCGTATTAGGTCATACTTGGCGCTTCATGGCTTGTGAAATAACCGTGTTTTTAGACAATGATTTGTTTGACGCAGGACTAGCCTTGCAAGCCTCCCTTCATCATTATCACCAAGATGATGATTTCATCAAGATTTTTAACCTAATGATTTTCATCAGCGAAACCGAACTGGAGTGACTTTGACATTCCACGACCGGCTTAGCCCTTCTTGTGGCTCATCCAGGTAGTTGAGTCCTCTAGTTCCCATCAACCTTATGATCTACTTGAACCCAAATCATAGGAAAGAGGCGAACTACACTCATTTGAATACCAGTGTGAGTTTTGCGGGAGGCCCAACTGAATCTCGTGTATGATGTTTTTCTTCAACTGAATATACTAAACCAGGCACCAATTTGGTATGATATTCAATATATCGTATGTATACACAACACATGAGGGATTCAGCTGGGTTTCGGGTGAGTCTCCTGTGAAAACCACACTGGTATGCAAATGAGTGTCGAAGTTACACAATTCATTGCATGGTAAATGTTCTCTATTATCCGCCATTCAAAATCTTGAGTACGGATAGGTGGTAGATGGGTGTTGGTTGTATGCCATCCAGAAGTTGGCTAATCTTCCAGTAGTTTACGTTGATTTGATCTTTTAGCTAGTGTACTCACTCCCTCAATGGCCTCGCCACGAAGGCCGTACGCGTTTTGGAGTTTAGAAAGCAACCTGGAGCCGGAGGCCGAAATTATGAAACATACTTTACTCGTCATTCTACAGTTACGTATCTGCGCACACTCCGTAGAATCTTTGGCCGAACATTAAGTATTACTTTATTTAGTCACTATCGAGTTTTTGGTCTAACTGACGCTCAGTGGCTTCGTCTGGTCTACTGTGTTGTGCACTTCGGGGATTTTGCTACAATCCATTACTGCCTTATACTGCATTAGCTATTTTTCCCTCCTTTTCGCCAGCTTGTCCACCGATCACGTTTTGTACAAAGGGACGCCTCCAAAAAAAACCTAAATCCTTATGCGTACGCCACTGTTGCTTGATATGAGGACACCAAGTTTCCAGATATCGTATTCTTACCATACGGTGATTCGTCGTAACGACACCCGTGTTTTCTGGCCCATGTGGGTTTCCGCAAAATCTCTTTTTGTTAAACCTACTTCCCCTCGCTGCGCGACATCCAGACTGCCGTCTGTACTCTCCCAACCGCGTGTACATCAATGCGGCTATGCCGCATATCGTAACCTAAAGAGGTGGTCAACCTCTGACCTGGCGGAAGAAATGATACAGAATACAAAACCCTAGTTAATATCGCCTTCCAGGACGGTATCTGCATGATCACCCTTTGCATGGTTGTAGACGCAGCAAGGTATGATTGCCGATCGATGTCAGTTTCTTTCCGGAGTGTCTGGAAGTGCGGGCATTTCGAACGATTGTGATGGGCTAGCACTGGTCCCCTTCCCATCCACTTTTATTCTTTTCTTCACAATAAATCAAATAAATCATAGTCGCATGGCTGTCAGTGATTGTGCTTTACTCAAAATTTGGTGTTTTGACCTATGAACCGCTAAACCTGTGGAATCAGTGAATGACTGGATGATTGTAACGGACAATCGCGCTGGTGACAAGAGCAGACAGACATGTCACGACTCACCGGATGTACGCTTGCTCGCCTATTATCACATTCCTCCAACTTGATATGACCATCCTGCTTCGCTCACTCGATTAAGGTACATCACGCCTCGGGTGTTTTGCGTCAGTCTGCAGGAATCTCTTCATTCGATCGTCCGACGTCAGTAATCTTAAGTGTCCGAGCACCGCTGGTTCATTTGAGGCAACACAAGTGATCGAAATGCTTCCGGCAGTTAAGTTGCTTAGTTCACTTGTCAACGTGCTACCTAGTGGCAACCTTGGCCTTATGACCCATGAGGAATTGGTTACTTTCGACATGACGATTGACCCAGGTATTTTGGTCGAAACTTATGAAGACGGCTTCACCTAAACTCCAAGTGATTCGGCGACCAAACCTAGTATAAATAGTTAACGTCATCAAAGGAGTTCACGTGGATAGCTTTAATGATTAGGATTTTAGGACCTCA